CCTATTTGGCTCAAAATCCATGACCTCCCTTTATGCTATTGGACCCCTACTGTAATATCCACAATTGCTTCTAAGATTGGCTTACCTATGGATGGTGATGCCCTCACAACTTCCAAATCCACGCTCACCTACGCTCAGGTATGCATACAAGTAGATTCCACGACTACTTATCCCGAAACCATTCCCTTTTTTGTGGTTGGAAAGTTATTTGATCTTAAGATTGAGTATAAGTGGAGACCCTTGATGTGCGGGCTTTGCAAGTCTCTTAATCATTCAACTAACTCTTACCCAACCAATCCTAATCCCTCTAAACAACCTGTTTTTAAGACCTTAAGAGGAAGGAGCTCTAGCCGTAGACCTAGGACAAGGCCACCTTCTCAAATCCACAAGGGGGTTTTACCCCATCCTGAAAAACCCCCTTCAACTAGCAACTTGAACCTACAAACCCAAATCAATACTATTGTTGCTCACCAACAACTGGAGAATGTACCTGATTATGCTCTTAGTGTACCCCATGAATCGGCTATCAACTGTATCAATAATAGCCCCATTTCCAACCTCAATTCTCCCACAACCAAGTTTTCTTCTTTCGAAAATAATGCTCCCATTGAAGAACCTAATAGCACTAAGGTGACCTCTAATAACAAATTCAAGATCCTTGCTAAATCCCCAAATTCTGAAGCATCTACCAGTATAGAAACTGAAGCAAATCTTGACCCCAATCCTCATTGTGAGCTACCTAACTCCACCTCCACTAAACCTGATAACTCCACCTCCCCCAATTCTCTCGCATCCAAACATACCAATTCTGCCACTAAGCAGGGACACAGTAAAACTAGATGGAGGGGCTCCTAGAAAAGCCCAAATAATTCTCATAAAAATTCATGATCTATCCAACAATTTTTAGTTGGACTATTAGGGGCTTTAATAGTCCTGAAAAGGTTTTTCGCTGTAAAAACTTATTTCTAACAAAAATACTGACATCATGTGCTTATTTGAGAATCGTATCTCCGTTCCCAATTTGTGAGACCCTTGGTTATGTTCTAACCACATAATTTATGAAAATGAGCAAATTTCAATAACTTTGAACATGCCACCCATAGCCGCATTTGGATCAAATGAAACTCAGCAAATATCTCCTTCTCCCCCTCCTATACTTCTAGTCAGATGATTTTGGGTGTCATTAATGCAGCTCAAACTCCTCCCTTTTTTCTCTCAGTTGTGTATGCATCAAACTCTTTTGAAGATAGACATACTCTTTAGGATGATCTTAAAAAGGTTAACACTGATAACTCTATGCTTTGTTATGGGCGATTTCAACTGTTGTCATTTTCAATCAGATAAAAAGGATTGAAATTTGATCCCCATCTCCAGGATGGCTCCTTTCAACAATTTTTGAGACACATCTCATGTAACTTCCCTCTACTGGAAATTTTCATACTTGGTACAATCAGAGAACTGAGAACCCAATACATTTGAGACTAGATCATATGATAGCTAATGAAGCTTGGGTGAGCTCCTTCCCAAATTCTGCTTACAAAGTCATTAACAACTTAATTTTTGAGCACGCGCCACTTATTCTTAAATATGATGTTATTATGTGAAGCTCTCCTAAATTCATGTTAAAAAATTTTTGGTGTCATATACCAGAATTTTGGGATATCCTCATCTCCATTTTTGTTGCTCCCTCCCATGGTAAGCCTATCATCAATTTGTATTAAAAATTGAAGCTATTGAAATGCAAGGCTAAAACTAAAAGGTGGGAGTTCTCCAATCATATTGCTGAAATGTGTGGTATTCTGTCTATACAACAAAGGGAATGCCAATCCAATCTAGATTTAGATCCTCTAAACAATGAACTATGTAGTTGGTTCAAAAAATTGAGTGTTGATCTTGCTTTCTAAAATTCTACTTGGGCCTCCTGGGTTATTCAGAGGGCCAATGTCAAGTGGTTAATGAAAGGGGAAGAAGATTTGAAATTCATGTACTTTAAGATCCATAAAAGGCATAGTTTCAATAGGAGTGCTCTCAAGGCCTCTATTATTATCATGGATCAAAACCGAAGTTAAAATATTCAGGGTATTATCAATCATTTCAAAGATCTGCTTAATTCACCCCCCTCCCCCTCTGATAATTTGGACACAATCTCTTCCCGTTGGGCAATACCATTCCCGGTTCAAAATTCAATGGCCTCATTATAAATGTGACCAATGAGGAAATTAAAGATGTTATGTTTCTGGTTGCTCCACTTCCTTTCTTGGGCTGGATGGCTTCAATTTTGAGTTTTATAAGAAGACCTAGTCCATTACTGCCATCTCTTTTTGTAATGCCGTGAAAAGTTTTTTCATCAAGTGCTTCCTTCTCAAATGTGTGAAAGCTACAACTATTTCCTTAATTCCTAAAAAGCCTCATATGGATATCATCCATGATTTTAGACCTATAGCGCTATGTATTGTCTTTTATAAAATTATTGCTAAGGTTATTGCCAATCGTATGAAGCCTCTCATGCCCGACATTATTCATCAGAGTCAAGCTGCTTTCATTGCCAAAATATTTTCCACCAATAACACCATTTTGGCCAGGGAAATATTGAGCTTTCCTAATAAGAAGTATAGGAACAAGTACTTTTGTGTTAAACTAGACATCGGGAAAGCTTTTAATGCTGTCTCCAAGAAGTTTCTTTTTGAGAGCTTGGCTAAAAAAGGATTCCCACCTCAATTTATCAATTAAATCAATGTCTGCTTTAACGAAGTTAACTTCTCCATAAATATTGATGGGGCTTTGGAAGGTTATTTTTCTTCTACCTCTGGCATAAGGCAAGGTTGTCCCTTAAGCCCTTACTTGTTTTGTATCATTATGGATGCCTTTTTCTGCCTCATTGATTTCAATCCCAATATTGAATCTTTTGAGGATTTCATCTAAGAGATTTTTCGTCTCTCTCACCTCTCTTATGCATATGATCTACTAATCTTTGGCAAGGCTGATATCAATAACATCAACCGACTTTCTGGATTACTGAGTTCTTTTTCTAAATACACTGGGCTGCATCTTAATCTAAACAAGAGCATTATCCTCTCCCCCAACTCTCTTATTTATGCTGATATTTCCCTTTCCCTTCGAATTCCCAACATATCCAATACCATTAACTACCTTGGCCTGCCCATATCTTTGGGTAGAATTAAATACTCTGATTTCAGCCCCCTTGTGGATAAAATTACTAACCTCCTTTCCGATTGAAAAGCCAATTTGCTCTCTTTTGTAGGTAGAATGCAATTCATCAAATACATAATTACTAATACGATTGCTTATTGGATCCGTGGGAGTTATATTCCAAAATCTATCACCAAAACCATAGGCAAGCTTTGTGCCAAATTTCTTTTCTATGGAGGATCCCAACAAAGACATTTGCATCTTATCTCTTGAGCTAATACTTGCAAGCCAGTATCTAAAGGCGGTCTTGGAATTGCTTCCTTTCAAGCATTAATCTTTGCTTATAATTGTGGGGTTATTTATAGATGGTACAATTCTCCCTCTCCCCTTACTAATTGGCTGAACATAAGATGCACTTCCCCTTGGAAGCCCACTCAACCTAATGTCAACTTTTATTTAAAGAGTATCTTCTGCACGGCTAGGAAGGCTAAGCACAAATTCTCTTTTGTTATTAATCCCAATGGTCATGCTGCTTTCATATGAGATCATTGGTGTGTGTGTGTGGGGGGGGGATCCTTCTACTTTTTCGAGTATCAATTTTTGTTTTATTTGTGGGTTTAATTCTAGACTTTGTGAATGGATTAATTCCAATAGTTGGAACTTTCCAGCTTATATTACTTCGACTCAGCGTGACCATATTTTTGAAATCCCCATTTCTCAACAGAAACATTGACCCACTTACTATTTGAATGTGATTATTCATTCTCGGTATTGAAAAGAATCATTCCTTCTTTCATGAGCTTTTATCTGAGGCCTAATATAGCTTAAGCTTTTAATCATGTTGGGAATTTGACGGCTAACTGTAAACTGAAAATGTGGGATTTTACTCTCCCTAAATGATATAGTGTACCATTTGTGGATTGAAAGGAACAACAGACGGTTAAGCAATGTGGCTATCTATGTAGGCACACTCTCTAAAAAAATAAGAGCTATTTTTTTAAGCTTTTCTGAATGGAAGGATGGGGATTTGGTGAAAGCCTGGCTTAAGATTAGTCATGCTCGTTAATATTATTGTTGGATGGTTGGTTTTGGCTGAAAGATGTTCAATTGGTTGATGGGATCATTTTGTGCTATTCGACCGTGTTTTTTATCAGCTGTTCTTGAGTGCAGAATTTTTTTGGGCAAGCACATTTTTGGGTCTGGACGATGATGAAGCATGCGTCTCACTTCCTTTGGATTGTCTGTGAGCAATCAAGGAAGTGTCTCTTCTGAAATCTAATTAAATTTATTTATGAGTCCAACTATATAAGAATTTTCTATCTTTATGCTTCTTTTGTTCTATTTTTTCATGACCTATATTTATTCTTAGCTTTTTTGTGCTCTTTTGACAATCGGTGATTACTTTTATAAATGCACTAGTAATAATGACAAAAAATATTACAAATACACTGTTATTAATTTACTTTGGATATATCTAACCAAACAAGGGAAACATTTCTCCTGCGTTTACTTTACAGACAACCAAACAGCCTCAAAGTATTTGGAATGCACAGCATTTATTTTACACTATATTTACTTTACATTGCGTTTGCTTTGCAGGCAACCAAACAGCCCCTTAGCTTTTTTGTGTTCTTTTGAATTCTCTTGTACACCTTTTCTTTTATAATAGAATAGACAAAGCCCTCAATTTTTTTCAAAAAAATTAAATATTAGACATGTATTTTGAATATTTTTAGGTGTAATGCAGGTAAAAAAGACAAAATAATTCCTTTTTTTTTTAAGCCAAACGTATTATTTTAAACATTTAAAGAAACGATAAATATCTATTGTCCTTTCTCCTCAGTGTCTGGTGGCACTTTCGCTGTTAAAGCCCGAAGAACCAGAACAGCACCGCAGTCTCTTCGTTCTCTTTCTTCATAATTCCTCTCAAGGCCTTGCTCCTCTTCCCCATAAAACGCGTCCGTCGTCTCAAATCACAGCCGGAAACCACTCTACAATCCCTATAACTCTTACCTAAATCCTAATGTTGTCATCCCGACTATCCCGTTCACTAGATTACAGCATCTGGAAGGCTTGCGCCGGTGGTTCCACCAGACTCCCGGCGATCGGTTCAGGCGTCTTCTACTTCCCAGAAGGCCATGCCGAACACGCAACTTCCCCTCCTGACTTCTCCTCGCTACTCCGATTCCCATCCTTCTTTCAATGCAATGTCACCGGCATCTCCCTCCTTGCCAACCAACACAGCGACGAGGTTTACGCTCAGATCTCACTCGATCCCCGCCCATCCAATGCCGCCACTGCCATGTGGCCAGACGACGAATCGTCGGTTTCGTCATTCGCGAAGGTGCTCACTCCAAGCGACGCGAATAATGGGGGAGGACTGTCAGTACCACGATTCTGCGCGGAGTCCATGTTCCCTCCTCTCGACCATATGATGGATCCGCCATTCCAAACCATCTATGTCCTCGATGTCCATGGAAAATCCTGGAAATTCCGACACATCTACCGCGGTACACCACGCCGGCATCTCCTCACCTCGGGTTGGAGCGATTTTGTTAATACTAAAAAATTGATATCAGGGGACACGGTCGTGTTTATACGAAATCTTGCCGGGGAACTTTTTGTTGGGATCCGCCGCACTGGACGGAGCTATGGAGGACAAATAAGTTTAGAGGGCGGAGGTTTTAAGGATGAGGTATTTTTGAGGAATAGGGGGAGAGTACTGCCTGAGTCTGTGATCGAGGCCGTGAGATTGGCGGATATGGGAAAGCCTTTCGAGGTGCTTTTTTACCCTATGGTTGGATTGCTGGCGTTTGTTGTGGCGAAGGAGATGGTGGAAGCGGCGATGGTCGTGCCTTGGGGGCCGGGAATGAGAATAAAGATGGCGGTGGAGTCGGGGGACTCGTCGAGGACGACGTGGTTGCAGGGGACAATTTCCTGCGCTGCTGTACCGGAGCGCGGCCGGTGGGCCCGTTCACTGTGGCGAATGCTCGAGGTAGTTTTTTTTTTTTTTTTTTAATTTTTCGACAGATTTACATATATGCTATATATTTAAATATTCGGTTGTTATGAAAATGAATATATAAATTTAAATATTAGATATATAAATATTAAATAGATTATAGATAAAAGTTTAGAGATTTTTGTGTAAATTTATAAATTTTTTAATATGATCAAGAAATTTGCAATTCCACAATTATCTTGTTGTTTAATGCTCTGTAGCCTGCTGACGAAGCCCCGTGGGAAGTTAAAAAAAATGACAGGAGCCGCTTCTGTTTGAACTTTGTTTATTTGTTTTTGTTCGTTGTCTGTTATCTGTTGTGCTATGGATGCTTGTTGTGGGTTGTTTTATTGAAAATATTTCAGCTGCTAGGGTTGGCGTTGTAAAAAAAAAAAAAAAAAAAAAAAAAAAAAAAAAAAAAAAAAACGCAAATGGGAGGGGACGTTACTAGGTGTATACAGCTTATAAATTTGTTGTTGCGCTAGATTACTATTTTTATTTTGTATTATTCTGCAGTTGTATTCTTCTGAGTATGAATTTTTTTTGGTGGAATTTTGGGGCATAGCCCATATATTAATCACAAAAAGTTACAAAAAAACAGGTGGGAAGAGAAAAGAACAAGACCTATGGGGAAAACAAAAGCGTGGAAACTAGAAAAAATACGAAAGGTTAACCACAGGAAGTAAAAAATAGCAAAATGCCAAAATTAGGCTCGGGATTGGACCAGCTGCTAAAACATCATCAAATTGGCTAAACACGATGCACAACCACAATGGAGAGGGGTCAGCCGAAGTGCCCAGATTGCCGTATGGCCAGCCAGGTGATGGTTAACGGTTAGCACAAGGGCCAAACCTGAAGGCAGCAGCCAAGATTTGCGCCCAAAATCAGTCAATATAAGTAGTAACTCCCAGTAAAACCGAAATAGAGTAGTCTGAAAGCAGCTGGCCTGAATCATCATAGCCTGCTCGAAATAGCAACTGCATCCAAAACATCAAAGACCAGGTAGATGTGAATAACAAGCCGCAAAATTTCAACTCCCAGGCGAAATGGGAGAACCAGCCAGAAACAGACAAACTTTCCCACAACCAGACATATATGTTAGAGTCTCGCAAGAGAGGACCCGATTTATGTCTCCTTAAGAATGTCAAAACAGCACGAGCTCATTAAAGTTCCTCCAAGATTTGACTTTAAGCAATAAGGCATTCCTGATAATGAAAACAAGAAAAGCAGGGCTAATCTAAGCGTTACCAAACCTACGGTAGTTCCTTTCCCGCTAAAGGAAATAAATCGTGCAACAGATAGAAAGAAAACCAAAGCATTTATCCCCCATACTGAAATGCTGCAAACAATCAATGAAATCCAAAGATTAGATTAACGTCGGCCTAAGCAGGAAGCAATTGAAGATGGACAATACATCGGTAAGCACCATATAGGAGTAATCGCATTCAAAAAACAGATGTTTGTGGGATTCCAGAGCTGAATTGCAGAAAGGGCAAGCAGAACTAATGGGGATAGATCTAATAATAAGCAAGTCAGCACATTTCAGTTTCTCTATTATAGCCATCCAAGTGTAGCAAGAGTATCTTGGGGCATGCCCTTTATGCCAAATGAATTTATACCAAGATTTTACTTCCAAGTTACCAATGTAATGAGAGTAAAAATTTCTAAATTTTTGTTCTATACTACCATCCCAGGACAAATTCGGCAGGTCACTAATAAGGGTCTCAAGAATTAATTGTCTGATAAGCACAGGAGGGAGGATGGGAGAACCCATTGATAATTTGTGATGTAACCATTGATAAGAGAGTGTTCAAAACCCAGGAAGTAAAAGTGTTCATATAATGATTTCACCTGGCACCACGGGTCCTAGACCATAGATAGATTACTAGAGGGAGAGACCGTCAAAGAGATGGTGGTCCACTTCAAGAAATTCAATGGAAAACCTTTTTGTTTCATCCTGGAGAGCAGAAGACTGAGTCAAATGCTTTCAGAATATCTAGTTTAGCACAAAACAAGTTGCGAGGAGAGTTGAAGTCTCTTAAAATTTTAGAAGCAAGAAGGATATTATCCGTGGAGCATCATCTAGATTGAATGAAGCCACCTTGACTCTCATGAATGATATGTGGCAAAATAGGCCTAAGCCTATTTGCTAAAACCTTTGCCACAATCTTGTAGAGCACATTACAAAAGGAGATAGGCATGTAGTCTGAAATATTAGTAACATGAGATTTTTTGTGAACTAATATGATAGCAATTGCTTTAACACCTTTAGGAAGGTAACTTGTGTGAAAAAAAATCATTCATAGCACGACAAACATGAGGACCTTTGATATGCCATGATCTTTTGTAAAATGCAAAATTAAATCTGTCAGGCCCAGGAGTAGATTCATTATGACCATCAAAGACAATGCCTTTAATCTCATTATAAGAGAAAGGAGCCTCCAAATTGTTGACACAGCGAGTAGGGACCAAAGCTCCCGCAGGAATGAGGCAGTCATTAGCATAGATCGGTTGGGGGGAGTTAAACAGGAGTTTAAAATGATTAATGATGGCGGAGGCAATATCAGAATGGTCGGTGAAGTGACCAAGCGGGGTAGAAATCTCACTTATAGAATTTTGGTTCCTCCTGGCATGAATTTTACTGTAGAGGAAGCCAAGGTCATCTTCCCCGCAAGAAAGCCATTTGGCTTTTGCACATTGGGAAATCTAAGAAGCCCAAGAAGCCTGCATCTCCATCAAATTCTCATTAATAGCTTTGAGAGAAACATTAAGATAGTGATCCAGAGGGAAGCTTTGAAGATCTTGGAGGCATTGCTGTTGCTTCATTTTTAATTCATAAATGGCATCAATAATGAAGTTTGAAGATGAACAAGATTTCCTTTTCCGACTACTTTTCAAATTTTGCAAACAATATGCCATAGAGGCCATGGGGCTGCAGGTGCTATAGTTTGCAAAAGCTTTGAGGACTTCATCCCAAAACTCATCAAAATGCAACCAATAATTTTTGAATAAGAAACGTCATGGTTTGGTTTTGACATTAGAGGCGCAGATGATCAAAGGGGAATGATCAGAACAAGCCGGAGGAAGAACTTTATAAAAGGCCGCAAGGAAAATGTCAAGGTAAGTAGAGTTAACGAGAACTCGGTCAAGCTTTATATGAATTGGATGATCCACCCTTTGATTAAACCAAGTAAAATAAAGACCAACCGAAGCCAAATCATTGACTGCACAGTCTAAGAGAACGCTATTAAGTTCACTGAGTCTCCTAGCGAGGAGAGGGATGCCCCTTGCTTTTTCATAATCATATATGCAATAATTAAAGTCTCCCATAATAACCCAGGGGAGATAAGCCTCAGGAATATTGTCTCTCAATCGGTCCCATAACAATTTCCTTTCATCAACTGAGTTGGCTGCATAAATAACAAAAAGAAGCATAGGAGGAAAAGAGCCAACCGATAGCATACCATGAATCATTTGAGCCGAAGTAAAAGAGGGAGGAAAATAATGAGGGAAGAGTCCCATTTAAGCCAAATTCTACTAGGGGTAGAGAACTGAAAGTTATCGCAGTACCTTTCATTTTCAAAAAACACGATGAGTGTTCAAAAACCAAGGGTCATTGCTAGCAGGATTGAGGACTTTAACCTCTAAAATACACAGTAACTTCAGATTATTAGAGAGAACCAAGTCTTTACAGGCACGGACTTTGTCGGGATTGCTGAATCCCCTAACATTCCAACAGGCTAATGAAGGGAAAAAACATTAGGCCTTGTTGGATTTAGCTGTTTTGGCTGCTTTGGCTCTGGTTTGCTTGGAATGTGGGGATGCTTGGGACTTGGGAGGGGGGTTAGGAGAGGGGGAGCAGACATCTTGAACGCTGATGTTATCCGAAGAGGAGGTGGATAGGAGATCCACCTTAAGAAGATGAGAGCAAGGGTCTTCAACTTGTAAAGTGGCAAACTGATTGGAAATAGGGATATTTGTGGAGTTAGGGGGTAGCAGGTTGGAAGAGGGCTCTGAGGAAGCAGACACCTCTTGGGGTGAGTTTAAAATTGGGATAAGGGGTTCTTTCTCAATGATAGAAGGAGGTGCAGGGGGGGGGGAGGTGTAGGGGGGATCGGGGGGGGGGGGGGGGGGAGGTATAGGTAGGATCGAGGAGGATGTAGGGGGTATGGGAATAGTGGGTGGAGTTTGAAATTGATGGGGTTTGGGGGAAACTTGAGATTTGGAAGAAGGAGCTCGAGAGCGTCTAAGATAATTTTTACTGGAACTTTTGCCCCTGGGTTTAGGAGGGCCAAAAACTTGAGGTTTAGGATTCAAGTTTGATGGGCATAGAGGGAAGGGGTGGATGAGGAAACCATAGCCTTCGCATCTAGTTGGCTTCCTATCATACACCATTTTGAGGATGATATCTTCATCCTCAATTTGAATAAGGGATTTCATTCGAGAGGGGCGAATCTTTGGAGATTTGAACGTAGACTCTCGCAAAGGTTAAACGAGAACGTTTAGCAGTGGGCGAGTCCACAGAGAGGGAAATACCGATATAGCTAGCAATTTTTGAGATACCAGCCGGTGTCCAAAGGGCTAAGGGGAGGTCCACAATTTTTATCCATATAGGAATTGAGGCATCTTCATCTCTCTTTGGCTTAAACCGAGGAGACCATTTTTGAAGCACAAATGGTTTACCGAGCAGAAACCATGGATCCCCAGACCATTCCATCTCATAATCTTCATTAGATGTGAATTTACGAAGAAAAAAATCATATGTAAGAGAGAGAGGGAAAGTGAACCTTAAGTGTCCAAGCCTTTTTCATGGCAGCCAACAATCTTTCATGGTAGGGGCACTGTCCAATAGAATAACCTACCAGAGAGAGGGACCAAAGAGTCGAACCTTCCGTAAGATAGCCAGACTTGAAAGAGAGCTTCAAGCTTGGAGGAACAAACATCATGGGGAAAACTTCAGGATCGAGAGGGGGTCTAGCCAGGTTGCCAGCCCA